CGGGCCCTAAAAACCCAAAGTTGATGTAGGGAACTGAACACCAGTACTCCTGGATTCCTCTGCCTCGAGGCTACCACCAAACCATGCCAGTCATTTCATCTCATTTCTATTTTTCCCAGTGAGATCCCAAAGGAAAGTCTGGTTGGGTCAGACTAGCCATAAACGCTCTCTGGATCCAAACAAGCATAGATTGGGGCTAGGGAAACAGTGAGGAAGGGGACTATCATTGATGCTCAGAAAGGTAATGGGATGGAATCACAGTCTTATCTGGCTCCACAAGTGAGCAGTTCCAGGTTAAAGAGCCAGGTTAAACGTCCCTAAGGATCTTCGGTCATCATCTCACATTTATTCAGGGAAGGACCTTTTCAAACTAAGGGCTCTCAGGAAAGAATTCTCTTTCCACTGAGGCTGCTAAGGATGTAGGATTTAAGCCTAGGGTTGCTGAGAGCCTTTTTCACCACAAAGCAGAAATCTGTTGAGGATGAAGCTAAGTCAGTGAAGAAATGGAGAGAGATTATTGAATTGTTTCAACTCCTGGATGTAACTAGTTCTAAAGCATCCTACCTCTGGACTTTTTGGCAACATGAATCAATTAATTCTCCTTTTTGATTAAACTAGTTTGAACTAAGGTTCCGTCACTTAAGTCTTTAGAGTCCTGGCTGATATGAGGTTTGTTTGTTTTGTTTTTCCTTTTTTGTTAACACTGAGAACTTATGTGCAGGGCATTGTCCTAAGTACTTTATATGTATTAACTTACTTAATTCTTATAATAATTCTATGAAGTAGAATATCATTATTACCTTCATTTTTAAAAAAATATATTTTATTGATTCTTTACAGAGAGGAAGGGAGAAGAAGAGGGATAGAGAGCTAGAAACATCGATGAGAGAGAAACATCGATCAGCTGCCTCCTGAACACTCCCCACTGGGTATGTGCCCGCAACCAAGGTACATGCCCTTGACCGGAATTGAACCCGGGACCCCTGAGTCCACAGGCCGACGCTCCATCCACTGAGCCAAACCGTCAGGGCAATTACCTTCATTTTTTAACTGTTAAGACTGAGGACCAGAAAAGTTAAGTAACTTGTCCTAGGTCACAAAACTGGTAAGTGATAATATGGGATATAAATCCTTTTTGGCTCCAAAGTCTGCATACTTAGCCACTACACTACAATGCCCTATTACTCCCAACCCTATCAGAACATAAAATTCAACTCCCTGACTCCAGACACTATCATCTTGGGACAGACAGGGACCAGAGAGCTTCTATTTGTCCCACCTGCACTCAATTTCATCCTTGATAAAATGAGGATAATTGTAGTTTACCTACCTCATAGGTCCTGTGAGACAATACATGTAAAGCACTTAAATGGTGACTGGTAGATAATAACAACTCAATGAACAGTAGTCATTAGTATTACTACTCTTTGGGTCACTAAAGTGCAGCTGGAAAATACAATGCAGATGGGAGAAATCTCTTTTCTTTCATCGCTGTCCTTTAGGGGAAGAGAAGAGATGCCATGGATGAGAGATGAAGACACTTTCTTGTCTTCCACCCATTGCATAAGCTGTTTCCTTTCTTTGGAAGGCTAGCTGTCACTGTCCCAATTCCTATGGAATATCACCCAGCCCAAATACCACCTTTTCTATGAAGTATTTCTAGATAAAGTGCTGAGTTTCACTTAATCTTAGTGAGAAAAGCAATCTCTCACTGCTGAATTTCTACAACATATAATTTGTACCTCATGTTCTGCCCTGTGTACCTGCCCAACCTCTTTACTGTATTGGGAGCTCCCTGAAGGCAGGCCCCAGTGTTTACCCTGTGATCTCTGTTTCCTCTTCTTGACCCTAGAGAGAAACAGAATCCCTTAGAGAAAGTTGAGGGCCCAAAGGAGGGCTGAGAAGTCAAGTATGATGGGGTGAGGCAGGTCACCACGAATAGGACTTGGGGTAGCTCGGAATTAGGAGGAAAGACAAAGAAAAGTCCCACGGATAGAGCAGTTGGGGCAGAGAGCCTCTCCTTGGGCTAGGTCAGGGGTCCTCAAACTTTTAAACAGGGGGCCAGTTCACTGTCCCTCAGACCGTTGGAGGGCCGGACTATAGTTTAAAAAAAAAACTATGAACAAATTCCTATGCACACAGCGGCAGCAAAAACAGCTGGTGGGCCGGATAAATGTTTTCGGCGGGCCGCATGTGGCCGCAGTTTGAGGACCCCTGGGCTAGGTAGAGAGAAGAGAGGAGGAAGGTGTAGGAAGGTGTGCTGAACCTGAATGAGGTGTGAGATCTGAGAAATTTAGAGATTTCTAGCCAAACATAAGAGCTGCCTGTGCTCCAATGATTCCCAATAATGTACAGAGGGCAGATCCCACCTTGTGGGATTCAGAGACTAACAAGACACATCCCCACTATTTCCCCAACTCCGAGTCCAGTGAGGATGGGTGAAAAACTGTAAAGAAGAAGATGAGTGGTGCTCTAGGAAGTACAATAAAGGGCTCTGGGCAGTAAGACACAGAGCACGAGGATTTGCAGGTGCCCTAAGGGGAGGGTGCCTCTGTGGAGAAGGACAGATGAGTAGATAGAAGAGATGGACATGTGTTTGAGGAGATAGCAATTTGAAGCGGAAGCACCAAAGACTGGTGTGGAGGGGAAGCCAGAGGAGAAAGTCCTAGGAAGATCTGAAACGAAACCATTTAAAAGTAGAATCTGAAGTAATTGCTCAGGGGCAACTTTGTGGAGAAGCTAGAAGCGTTTTGAAGGGGTCTTTCTGGAGGGTGGGTACTGCACAAAGGGTGCTCCCAGGAAAACGGGAGTGGGCAGGAGGGCACAGTGGGCATCTTTCGGGCTTTCTGTGGGGAGCGGGAAATTCTCCGTGAGGCAGTGGTTCTCAAACTGGAGCACGCGTCAGAATCACCAGGAGGGCTCCTGAAATCAGGCTGCGGGCCGACTCCCAGGTTTGTGGCTCGGTAGGACGGGAGTAAGGCCCAAGAACATGCATTTCTAGCAATTCCAGGGTGATGCAGACGCTGCTGGTCCAGGGAGCACACTTTGAGGCCCATTACTATAGGGGAAGAGCTTCCTTCGTGAGGAGGCCCTCCGAGGGGAGCAGGAAGGTGGGAGCTTCTGGAAGGAAAACAGGGGCAGTCCCCAAGTCGTTCCTAAGGAGGGTGATAAGGGTCCCGCCATCTCTGAAGGGAGGAGGGGTATCTGAGGATGGAACCTAAGAAAAATGGCCTGAAAGGTCTTTGAGGGCTGGGACTTCAAGGGGTGGGGCATGTCTCTTAAAAGCCTTATTGAAAGGGGACATGGAGCCTCTGGGGACAGCTGTCTGGAGGATGCTGGGGCCTCGGAAGGGATGATGGGTGAGGAGACTCAGATCTGACAGGCCCTCTCAGTTGATTTCAGAGGAAAGAGAATGGAGACGAGAGGGTGCTAAAGGGAGGGGAGCCCAGGAGGGTCCTGAACAAGGTTTCTGGGTGGCGGGAGGACCCGAGGAGGTTCTGAGGAGCCTTCAAGGTGCTGACTCCGGCGGGCGGGCGTCGTGGGGAGGTTCTCGGGGCCTGGAAGGCGTGGTCTGAGGGGCAGGCGCACGCGGAACCCTGGCCCAGAACCCCGCCAAGTCCTTAAAGGGCAGCAGGGAGGGGTCTTCCCAGGGGAAGCCGCTCACCAGGGTAGATGGGGTAGAGGGCTTCCTCAGAGCAGGCGCTGACGGCCACCTGAGGGAGCGAGAGGCCTCGGCGGGAGGGAAAGCCCCTGCGGCGGCAGGGAGGCAGGAGACCCCGGGGTGAGGCAGGGGACCCCGGGGTAAGGCAGGGGACCCCAGGGTGAGGCAGGGGACCCGGGGTCAGGCAGGGGACCCCGGGCAGATGTGAGATGTCGGAAGCTGCACCTCAGAGGGTCCCGAGAGGCCTTAGTTTACAGGGCTTGTGGGGTGCGGGAAAGTTCACCTGAAGTAATGGGGGGTGGGGTGGGCTGAAGAGAAACTTCTAAAGGAAATTTTTGGAACATTTGGTGTGGATTACTGGGAAAGATTTGGGATACACAAAGGGGTTTGGAAGAGGGTTTTGGAACGTGGAAGGAGAGTTCTCCATAGATGAGAGACTCTGAGGAAGATCTTCAGGGCACATCTGGGGCACTCTGAAGGAGTCGGGGTGTCAGTTGTGAGATTTGGGGTTCTGAGTGATTTCTGGGATGGGGAGGCGAGAGGGTAAATTCCTGGGGGGGGGGGAGTCCGGGGAGGCTGCGTGAAGTCGGCCTTTGGGGGAGATTTCGGGAATGCCCGGGTCTGGAGGGGATTTGAGGGACACGCTGAGGGGAGATTTTCGGGTTTTCGCAGGGAGGAGACCTCGGGTACACATGCTGGGTACCCGGCAGCGGCCTCGGGGCCACAGCGGGGTTCTCTGAGGCCGATTTCCAAGCCCCAGGTCAGTCTCTGGAGAAACCTGTGGGAATGGAGGGGTGGGACCCCGGGAAGAGCCGGGACGGCGGACAGGGTGCGAGGGGAGTGTCGGGGTCTCTGCGGTCGCCGGGGACCGCCCTCCAAGGAGGCGTCTGAGGCGGACGTGGGGGTCGACCCCGAGGATGTGAGGGGATCTGGGGGGAAGCTCCGAGCGGCCTGTGGGAGCCATTCGGAGGCCGGGGTGGG